CTTATCACTGATTTGCTGCTCTCTTCATCCATCCTTGCCACTGTTGCATCCATTCAAGATTTCCTCTTGGTTATAGCATTTTAAGTTTCATACTGACTAGATTTTACTTCTTTTATCTATTCAGAAAGAGATTCTATGCTTTTTTCAACTCCAGCTAATATTCTTATTATTGTGACTCTAAATTCCAGTTCAGACATCTTGCTTATATCTGTGTTGATTAAGCCCCTGGCTGTCATTTCTTTGTGTTCTTTCTTTTGGGGTGAATTCCTTCATTTTGCCATTTTGGAGGAAGAAAAAGGATAACTTAAATAAAATAAAAAGTAAGAAATATTAAAAACAACACAGAAAATCAAATAAAAGAAGCTAGATCCTCTGTCTAGGTGAGTTTTGGTCTGGTTGTTGAAAGAAACTTGATAGAATAGAGAAAAAAGGGAAAGAAAAGAAAAAGAAAGAAAAAGACAAAAAGTAAGAAAGTTTAAAAATTAAAAATATGTATACAATAAAATAGAATAAAATGTAATGAAGAAAGTGAAATAGAATAAAATACTTAGAAAAAAATATAAAACATAATAAAAAGAATTTAAAAAATTTTTAAAGGAAACTATGGGCGCCTGGGTGGCTCAGTGGGTTAAGCATCCAACTTCAGCTCAGGTCATGATCTTGCAGTCTGTGAGTCTGAGCCCCAAGTTGGGCTCTGTGCTGACAGCTCAGAGCCTGGAGTCTGCTTCAGATTATGTGTCTCCTTTTCTCTCTGCCCCTCCCCAACTCACACTCTGTCTCTCTCTGTCTCTCAAAAATAAATAAATGTTAAAAATTTTTTAAAAATAAAATAAAAAGACAAAAATAAAATTTTCTCTTTCTGTATCCAAGAAAAATAAATGAAAGGAGAAAAAGAAAATAAAAGAAATAAAAAAAATAGATGAACCAGCAAACAGAGTGAAACTTGAATGAAGTTACATCCAGTTTCCCCTAGAACTCAAACAATGAAGCACTCTATAGTCTGTACACTAAGAAGATGGAGAAACTTGTGGTTCTCTAGGGCATGTGCTTGGAGGGCGGAGTTGGGCGGGGCTTGGTGTAATGGCTCTGTTCTCCACTAGGTGGCATTGCTTAGCTTACTAGGATGGATTGGTGTGGTATATGTGTGCATGTGCATGTAGGTGCACGTGCAGGAGAGGTGAAAATGGCATCACCCAGCTTCCTAGTTTCAGGCACAGGAACTTTGTGTTCTCACCTACCCAACAAGCAATCAAGGATCCCTCCTTTGTCTCAGTCTTCTGTCCATTCCCCACTTCTACACTGTGTCTGTGTCCAGGCTGTCAGCCTGCCATACACCTGGAAATTCTTAAATCAGACTGATCTGGATTTGAATCTGGCACAGCTAGTTAGGAACTCTGTGACTTTGGACTTGTTATTTTATCTTTCTGAGTCTCCGTTTATCCATCTGTGCAGTAGAGTTAATATTAGTAGTGACTTCTTAAGTTTGTATTAGATGAGTGAATATTATACTGTAATATAATGCTTATTACAGTGTTTCACACAAGGGAAGTAAGTGGTCTTAGATATTATTACATTTTTAATCTATTTTAGTGATATTCGACCAGGCTATCCCCTGACAGTCCCTGCCTTGTCCAAAGAGAGAGAAACATTTGACACATTAATTCTTCACTAAATTTTTCAGCCTGCAGCCACAGGACTCTGGATTACTTCTTTCTATTGAAAGAGCCACCCAGCAGGCTGCCTATTTTAATAGAATTTCTCCTGGCACCTCCTGTTTTTGTCTAGAGAAGTTTTAGAGCTGGTGCAGGCACATGCTCACACAACACACTTAAACATCACAAATGCGGATGAATGCATTTGGGAGCAGTAGAGGAGGGCGTCATGGTCACCACTGCTTCAGTGTGTACAAAAGTCTCTGATGTAATCAGAACCTTTGATGTCTCAGGGAACAGAGCTTCCCCTCGCCCTTTATGTCAAGGTGCCAGGCTGTGGTTAGAGGTTTGACATGTCATTGGGCTTTAATTGGTTGCTGTGTGTAAGGCTTTCCTTCCTGTCATGTGTACTATGGAATTAATAGCACCCACAGCTAATATTTTAGTCTGAGCTCTTGCTCAGCCTCCATGTTAGTCTGATGCCCTGGTACAACATGCATCTTTCCTTCTATGTTGAATGTGACCATTTTATATTCCTATCCAAACCCTGTTTATTTCTACAATTAATTTCACATTTAACTATCATTAGTTTAGTTAGATTTAGAAAAGGCTATTTCAGCCAGATGTTCACTATTTGTGAAATTAGAGAATGTTAGAATTAGAAGGGATCAGCCAGTCTTATTTCTCATTTGACCTTTGAAGGAACAGGCTCAGAGAAGGGAAGTAACTTCCCCAGGATCACACAGCAAAGAATTGACCTAGCCAGGACAACTCAGGCCTTTTCATTCCTAATCAGATCTCTTTCCAAAGTGTCTTTTGAACTGTGTTTGATAGAGCACAGATTTGGTCCAGTGATACCCTCAGTCATGTGCCTTGGAGATCCCATTTTAGTTGCATTGAACAAAATATACACTGTAATTTCTGGGCTTATAGCCTCTTGGGGTCTATTAAACTGAATATTTCAATTTATAAGTTAGAAGGCTTGAAGATCCACAGCTTGTTAATGAAAACTTTCCATGCGATTTTAAAGCTGCCATCCTTGTGAGCTTGATTTAACCTCTTTTGAAAGCTCCCCCAGGAGTAAAGAAATAAAAAAAATCATTTCAGAAAATGATTTCAGGCTTTAAAATATTTTGTCAGAAGAAAAAAATCAGCCTTAAATTTTTCCTACGTCCTATTTGCAGTAGTGAGAGCTCATTTCTTTAGTAGTCCTTGGTTCTAGGGTTTTAGGCTTTTGTTCTTAACATTACTTCAAAAGATGATTGGGGCCAGGGAGTGTATTAAATGGGTGATGGGCATTAAGGAGGGCGCTTTTTGGGGTGAGCACTGGGTGTCATATGTAAGAGATGAGTCACTGGGTTCTATTCCTGAAGTCAAGTCTACACTATATGTTAACTAACTCGAAGTAACTAACTTAAAAGATGGTAACTGTATAGAGCATATCCAGTGACAAAGACGTGTTCCAGGTGAATAAGATGTGTTTACAGATCAGAGGGTAGAATTCTGTGAGGATTTTGTGAAATTAAATGTAAAACATTGGGTGTTCATACAACCAGGCTGTTACCCAAAGCCAGCATACTAATCTGTGTATCAGGGAAGAGGTACAGTGCATCATCCTAGCACATCATGGGTAGCACCAGGCTAAGCTGTTCGGGAGGTGTGTCCTTGTGTCACTGTCCAAGGTACTGAAACCAGGCCTTCACTCATAGAAAGCATCTATACTATCCCATCTGAGCTCCTGTAGGAAAAAACCACTGTTGTTTTCCTTCAGTCGTTTCCATCTTGACTCAGACATATGTGGTTTTTACATCACTCTAGAAGTGACAGAACTGTGCCTTGTGTTTCACTATTAATATATTTATTTTCCATGTACATTTGATATGTACATTTGATGACTATGTCAAAACAAGCACTGTTTTTTCCTTTGAACCTAGGAGAGACACATTTCTCTCCCGATGACTTTCTCTCACCAGAAACTTGCTAACGTTATACAGACTTAGTGGATGCTTTAAAAAAATATATGGCACAGCCCCTAGACTTAGCCAATGTACATATTTACTTATCAATGTACATATTTCTAGCAATATTATAATTATGATCAAGTCATTGTAAACATTCCTATATAGTCTTGTATATATTCAATTTAAAGTAACCATTAATTTTCTTGAGTCTGAATTGAAGTTATCAGGTGGCTCTGATTTGTTTAAGAATGATCTCACTGATCTATGGGGATGGAGACTAAGTATGTCTATCTTTCTTTCCTAGTTTCTCTCCTGTAGAAAATCCACTTTCATACTCTGAGAAGAAACCCAGAAATCAAAGTGAATGATTTGTATTAACAGAGTCATGTCCTTCCAAAATCAAAAATAATTTTTATTGCCACATCCAACTTTGATTAGCTACTTGGCAAGAGATACATACCCCTACATGTATGTTTGTTGGTGAAAACATATCCAGAATTCCCATGAAAGTCTGATAGTAACACTATTACTATTGTCACCACCAGTAATAATAATAATAATATTTGTAATTATAGCTAACACACCTGTAGGGTATAGCATATTCCAGTAACTACTTTCACTGTTTTACATACATCAACTAATTTATCCCTCACAGCAACCCTGTGAGGCAGATGTTGGTGTAATCCTCATTTGGCAGATGAAACTGAGGCTAAGTAATTTGACCAAGGTCAGACACATATAATTAAGTTTGACTTTAGTGCTAGCCTAGTAGGATATTGAGTGTATAAACAGTGAGATGATTAGAAATCTGGGTATCCCCCTGAAGTACTGATTTCCCAGACTATTGTCAGGTGTTAGACATCCTGGGGTCTCCTTTCTTGAGCTTGGTGGAAATGACTGATAGGAAATCTTCAAGGAAATCTTCGAGTTTGTTAGTATAAACCAGACAAGTTGTGGTCATAAACCTTGTTTGTGAGTACAGGCAAGGGAATAAGCACTGGTTTGTATCAGTGCAGTCATTTGTGCTGATATGAAGAATGGCCTAGCAACCACATGTGGGGTGTGAGTGGACCACATGGTGATTGATGGTCAGACTGTAGGGGACACTGGCATGGACAGGCTATATGAAAAGTGATGAGTGACCAGGCATGTTTAGGAACAATGCCCATGGAAAGGACAAAAGTGTGGAGGAGTTCAAGAATGTTTGCTTTGTTTTTCAGAACTAACTCTATCATCTGGAAGTTGTCATACATGAATTTCTCTCCCAGATTTATATGTTTCTGAACCATCTCTGTGTGTCTTGGCTGTCTAAAAATTTTGATTTTCCTTTCTTACCTTTCTTTCCCTTCCTCCCTCCCTTCCACCCACACTTTCCCCTCCTTTGTAGCCTTCACATGGTGACAAGACTTCTAATCCTGAAGTCCTGAAATGGATGAATGATTTGGCTAAAGGTCGTAAACAACTTAAAGGTAAGTGCCAGCCAAGAGTCTCTTTTTCCATAAAGGAAGCAGTTAAAATAGATAATTTGCTCCAAGATATTTTTTATTCTTTTCCACCTGTGCCCTCTTTAACCTCATTTCTCACGTAGATTAGGGGCTCCATTTTGAAATAAATCGTCCTGGGTCCCTTTCATTATTTGGCCCCATCTAATAATTCTCCTTACAAAGAGATTGAAGAACTCCAGACTCCAAAGAGAAATGATTCACTTCAGTGCCAGGAACATTTCAACATGTGGAGTATTAACTTCCCCCTAGGTTACTGGATTCTTGGATGTTAGAAAAAGGCCTGAACAATCATTTACTCCGTATACCCCATTGTACATATGAAGACATTTATGTCCAGAGATAGAGACAATTTATGTAGCTGGGAGGTAGTGAGCTAGATATAAAACTCAGTGCTCTTACCTCCTAATCCAGTGTTCTTCTTTCTTCTTTCTCTGGAGATTATGATGATGATATGAGTGTTAATTAACTCTGAAATCCATTTAAAAGGACTATGGTATTTACCAATAAAAATTTATTTGCCTCCTCTGGGGCACCTGGGTGGCTGGCTCAGTCGGTTAAGCTTCTGACTTTGGCTCAGGTCATGATATCACATTTCATGAGTTTGAACCCCACATCCAGTTCTGTGCTGACAGTGCAGAGCCTGCTTGGGATTCTCTCTCTCTCTCTCTCTCTCTCTCTCTCTCTTTCTCTCTCTCTCTCTCTCAAAATAAAGAAACTTTAAAAAATTATAAAAAAATTAATTTTCCTTCTCTTTCCACATTCTTATTTCAATACTTAGATGTGGAAATTTTTCCAAATTTGTAAATTTTCCAAAGGTGATAAGGAACTGGAAGGGAATCTGAACTCAGTGGTATTAAACTGTAATGATATGGGGCCTTTGTCTAGTTTGTTAAACAGCTGCCGTCAATTTCTAGGTGTCATGATCTCACGCACCTGTGGATGGTCTGCACTTGTGTTGAGAAGCTCAGAGCCTGAAGTTTCACTCCCAGGCCCCTCCCCTCTCCATTCGACCCTCCCCTGTTCATGCTCTGTCTCTCCCTGTCTCAAAAATAAATAAATAAATAAATAAATAAATAAATAAATAAACTGTAATGATGTTGCAGGTTTATAAAATATGCAATGTTTAAACATCACACCAGAGTGTAACTAAAAAACAAACATCAAACAAAGAAAATGAGCTCTGTAATTGAGAAATCAATATAAGTGGCCACCCTTTAGCATATTCTGAAATTTAATTCCATGATAATTCCCAAGTTGCTTTTTTACTTTTAGTTATTTAGGTTTATATAGAAACACATTGCAATAATGGTGAATCCTGGATTTTAAAAGATGACATTAGACAAAATTGTCAAGTTGGGGCTGCACTCCCATCTCTCATATCCTATCCCTCCTGTATTTCCTCAGATGTCTGCATGTGTAAAGCCTTACAGAAGTGCTTGCATTTACACAGGGGCTCTTAATGACACAAAACTTTCAAAACTCAAGTAAATGAACCAGTGAGTATAGAATTCCAGGTGTTGTGGTAGGTATTGGGTGAAATATTTGAGGGCCTGGTACCATCTTCCTCTAGATCTCATCCTCTGAAATTTAAACCACTGACTTACTTCTACACATAACCCTCAACTTCCATAAGATCCCAGTCTCTAGAGCCCTTTGTTTTCACACCTGAGTAGGAGATATGCTGTTGGTTCTAGTTATTAAGGCTGCCCTTGCCCTGTGGAAAGCTATCAGCAATAGTGTCCATTTCCACTGACTTCACATCAGTGGTGGGAATTTCTGTAAGGCTCTCTGCTCTTAAGCCCAGTGAGTCCTCCTTGCTCATGGTAACTCATGGCATTTCTCTTAGAACTAAAGCTGAAATTGTCAGAAGAACAAGGGAGTGCTCCCAAAGACCCACCTAGAAACCTGTCCTGTGAGCAACCTGCAGTCCCCAGAGAGAATGGGAAGCCAGAAGCTGTGGGCCCTGAGCCAAGCTCCTCTGGAGAGGACACTCCTGATACTGTGCTGACATGCCTAAAGGAGAAGACAGAGCAACTTCCTGCTCAGGAGGATTCTAAGGTACCTCACCATATCCTCACAGGTCCCAACATTCAATAGGATTCCAGAGAGATTATGGTTTTGACCAATTTGTAAGAGCACTTGGCACTACATAAACATCTTTAGGAGACTGGTTCTGAATTTCAGTCAGGTGACCTCCTAGCAAGTTATTGACCATGACCTATAGGTGTTGCCACTTAATTCCAGAATGTTATTCTGGAAGTTATACTATTGCATGCTGGTAGGAAGCAGATAGCAAAGATATTAGGGTGTATCATATCTACTTTCTCCCTTATTCCCCTAATAAATTAGCAAATTAACCCAAGACTAGTATTACAATCCCATTTTACCATATATTTTATTTAAAAAATAATGCAGCTGGGATGAGGTATACATAGTGAGGAAAATGGTTTAGTATCTTATAAGATAGATAGGTAGGCTTTTTAAGAGAGTGTTAGGTAAAAAGATGTCTAAAGACCTCAGTTTTAGTCTTTAGACTGAAGTCTTTAGACATCTTAGTTTTGAAATCTTTGTGAAAGATTTCACATCCTGCACATCTTCTCATCCTGCACATCTATGCTTACATTTCATTTATGACCAGGAACCTTCCTTGTAGTCCTTTCTGTATCAACTCTAAAAGTGGTATGATTGCCTTTAATTTCTTGAATAAGAGTTGTAGCTTGCATATCATAGCCCTAACTATGCTGTATGACATTTTCTATCTCTCATTTTATACTTTAGAGCTGAGTAGAATAGCTATTTGTAGCTCATGATCCTACAGTGTCTGTACATAGTAGGTATTGAATAAATGTTTGCTGAATGAATGGACAGATGAATGAATGAACTAACATATTTAACTTTGGAATCAAGTATTATTGATAATGGTGACTTTACCTGTTATATTGCACATTATATGGTCTTAATCATAGGTGACAACATATGCCAAATCCCAAAAGGCTCACCATATGCCCCTGGACTTGTTCTTTACATGGAGACTTGTGATGTACAAGCAGAAATGGGCCTTTGGCCACCTCTATTTTTATGAAATACTTTTAGATTAAAAAAAAAAACAATTCTATGTTGTAAGAAGTGAATAGGTTTTTATCCACTTGGCCAACTCATTCCATGCCACCAAAGATTCTGGATTTTTATGATAGTCAGCGGATAAGTGGGTAACACACACACACACACACACACACACACACACACACACACACACCTAATTCTATGTTCTACTTGATTAGGGCAATGAGGGATGAGTTAGGATTGGTAGAGTAGACTTAGATCAGGACTCAATGCTTCAATAAGCCACTTTCTAGCCATGTATACTTAGTAAGTGAATTAGTTCTCTGAGATTCAATTTACTCATCTATAAAATACAGATAATACCTACTTACGTAATTATTGTGACAATAAGGAAAGATGCCTGGTGACTGGTGGGCAATCATTAATTTGCAAAAATATTTGAGTGCCATAATAGGCACAACAATGTGTTGTGAGGTATGATACATATTGGATATAATAAGACAGAGAAGCTATGAGGGTTACTGCCCTCATGAAACTCATGTACTTCTGAAAATTGGGATACAACAACAAATAAACAGCTCAATAAGTAAAATTATTAAAGATTTTGATAAGCAGTGTGCAAAGAATTAAACAGATAGTATAGAAAATAATGGGTATGCTTTCTACTTTATATAATGTGACTAGGAAGGCCAATAGGTGACATTTAATGAAGAATCAGCAGGCCAAGAGAGCAGCAAAAATCATTTTAGGCAGATGGAACTGCCAATATGAAGGCCTTGAGGGAAAAGATTGTGTGTACTTAGAATTCTGGGTCTGAGGGCTAGAGCACAGGATGGTATGAGATGTCAGAAAGTCAGACTGGGGCCCCTGACATAGTACCTTTTAAGTTACTACCTAAAGTATTGGAAAACTGTTGAGTCGTTGAAAGCAGGAAAGTGATATGGTGTGATTTACATTTAAAAGATACTGCTGAAATTTTTAAAAATATTTATTCTTGAGAGAGAGAGAGAGAGAGAGAGAGCAGGGGAAGGGCAGAGAGAGGGGTGTGTGTGTGTGTGTGTGTGTGTGTGTGTGTGTGTGTGACAGAATCTGAAGCAGGCTCCAGTCTCAGCTATCGGCACAGAGCCCGACGGGGGGCTCGAACTCATGAACTGCGAGATCATGACCTGAGCTGAAGTTGAACACTTAACGGACTGAGCCACCCAGGTGCCCCTAAAAGATCTTTGTTATTCCTGCATGGAGAACAAATCACAGGGGAAAATTCTGGATAGAGAAAGATGAAATGGGTGGTTTGGACTAGCATGAAAGCCTTAGGGATGGAAAGAAATAGACATACTCAAAGTATATTTTGGATGTATAATCAAAAGGATGTGCTGAATCATTGGATGGTAGGAGGGAAGGAAAGGAAGAATCCAAGATTGTGACAGTCCATTTACTGAGATAGGGAAAACTACAGAAGGAACAGATTCAGGGTGAGTGAAAAATTAAGAGATTCTGTTTTTAACACGTTCACTTTAATATTTTTGAGGAATACAGTGACCAACCATCCCTGGTTTCCTTGGATTTTCCTGGATGTTAAAAATTTCACGTCTTTCAAAATGCCCCATCCTGGAAAAATGGGGATGGTTGGTCACCCTACTGAGACATCTAAGTCTAATAGGCACATGAACAGAGAGTCTAAAGATCAGAGAAACATATTTGAGTTCTTTGGAAGTTATCTTTGCTTAAATGGCTAAACTGTATAATAAGTGTCAGAAGCCCCTTCAGATAAAGCTAGCATCTCTGCAGTAGGCTAAAGTGAGGCCCTTTAAATAGAAAGCATCTGTAGTGGAATATGTAGCTCTCAATATCTAAAGCTGTAGTATTGTTCCTGGGGGGTGGGGGGAGTTAAAATACCAAACCTGATAGTGGCTAGTCAGCTATCAGGTGGTTCCTACAGGAGAGCCCAAAAACCACAGAAGCAGCCAAGGGAGGATTGCAAATTTCCACAGTAGCTATATTATTCCTGGATCCTCAGTGAACTCATTAGCACTTGAGATTATCTGACTAGGTTCTATTTCTTTACACTCAAATTGACAGATTATTTTCATCTGGGGTCCTTGCTTTACTGTTGAAAATACTGTAAATATTAAAATTTCCAAGATGAAGAATTATTTCTTTTCTAGAGAAAACTTTATGAAATTTTCACATTTGGTGTTTAGTCAGAGTCCATACTAAAGCTGATAAATCCCACAGCATTGCCTTGTCAGTTCAGATACTGCTATAGGGTAATTTTCTTCCTCTTTTATTTATAGATGATTTTTGGAGGTAACAACTTCTGGGTCACAGGGTATCTATTCATTGAGCACTGTAAGTGAATGAATAATCCCTTAGGTATGACTGTGGTGCCTATTTATGTCCATTTCTTGTGAAAATCTTGAATTGGTGCTGGCACATCATACCCATTTTATTGCCCTTTCTCAGAACTATAGGGTGGTATCAGGTGCATGGCACAAATTGAGCACTGTAGGTGAATGAGTCATCCCTGACTGTGGTGCCTATTTATGTCCATTTCTTGTAAAAATCCTGAATTGGTGCTGGCATGTTATACCCATTTTATTGCCCTTTCCCAGAACTGTAGGTGGTATCAAGTGCATGGCACAACTTACTAACTGGATGAGTAATGGCAGTTACTTCTGGCCCTTCACTAACTGCAGCATCTTTGAGGAGGAAAGCAGGTTTTTAAAAATATATATAACTCATTTTATTTCAAAAAATAAAATGAAAATATAGTGATTAGTAGGTTGTTATACCCACTGGTTGTTATACCTTGCAGAGAGGGCGACTTAAAAGTAAAGGGCACAAAAAGTAAGATCCTATCAAGTTATTTTGCCTACTTGTCATTTTAAATAATAAAACAATTTTTAAAATTGGTAATATTATCTCACATAGTTCAAAAGAAAATACAAATGGCCACACATTAAATAGATTCTTTGCCACTCCATCTGCTAGCTCTACCCCAAGCAGGTAACTATTGCGGCTAATGTTTTATGTGTACTTTTGGAGTTTCTATATAAAGCATATACAAGGGATTACTTTGGTAATTATTCTAAGAGTAAAATCAACTAATCAGAGTGAAAGATAAGTGCATACATTGTACATGGACCCTGATTTTCATCTGGCATCTTTGGACGATATTCTTCTATAATGGCATTTATCATCCTAAGCTGCTCTTTGGTCACTATTTTCCTCTTTTAGGACAAAATTTAGCTTTTCTAGAATCCAAAGAATTTAGTAAAAATAAATAAAATTACAAAAATCAAACTGCTGTACAGAGATGCTAATAATAGTTAAATACATCATTTTTCTGAAGTTGCTTTCTATGAAATATAAGTCCCAATGAGATACTGAATAAAAAACATTGTTCATGTTTTCTGAACTTGGATTGAGATTTTTTTTCTTTATTACCTATTAAAACCCCATAAGATAGATAAAAGGTTTGTTTTTTTCATGGCAAGATGTATCATGACTAGGAAAATATTTAAGAAATTATTAGGCTGGAAAACGAAAGGGTCTTGTGGTTACTTAACCAATACTTAAATGGCTTCTACAGAGAGAGGTGATCTATCTTTCTACTGAAAATGAAAGTTCTTAGGTTATAGCCTATGGAATTTATATGAAGATTGTTAAAAATTAGGGTACTTTTGTTTTTAAACCTGAGTTGATATATTTATAGCAGGGAAGGGGATGTGTTGAGTATTGTGAGAATTTTTTAAAATATTTGATATAATTTTCGTCCTCAAGAAACTTCTAACTCATTTGGGCAGACAAATCTGAAACACAGTACATAGTTAAGGCCCAGATAATCAGATAGAAAAGTTCAGAGAAAAGGGAGCTAAATGTGGGCCAGAACGGTTCTCAACTGGGACAGGGGTAGGGTAACATGTGAATAACTAGGAAGTTTGAAAAATACACATACTTAAGCCATGTTCTTTTCCTTCAGGATCCCTTTGTGGGATCTGGAAGGCAGAGATCCAGAGAGCACCTTGGGTATGTGTACTTTGACAAAAGATACCTGGGTGATTTGCTCTGTGCTATTTCTCCTGTTTCCTTCCTGCTAGTCGCTTAGTGAAAACCATCTGACCAGAGTGAAAAAATTGTGTGTAGTAAACATATAGCAAATTAATGTAGGATACACAGAAGGGAGGAAAACCAAGGCAAGCAGAGGTTTGGTCATTTTGGATGGTCACTTTGGATGGAGAGAAGGATGATAGTGGTGGTGGGTAGGTAAATAGAGGATTGATAGATAAATAGGAAGCTATTTAAATTTTTATGCACAGTGTGACCTGTTAAAAATAGTGCTTAGGAGAATACATTTTTGGACCAAGAGTTTATGAAATCTTTCAGTTGGAAGGAACTTTGTAATTCCAATCTCCTTATTGTACAGGTAAGATAAGGATTCAAATAAGTTAATTGTCATATCAAAAATAGTTTGTGGCAGAGCTAGCCAGTAACCTAGTATATACTCCAAGCTTGTGATGAAGACCCATACAAAGTTTGTGTTTGTGAATATAATCAGGAAGATCCATATAAAATACATGTTTCAGAAGAAAAATCAATAGGTCTACATATTGTTTTTTAAGAATGAAGAAATAAAATGACAGGCTTCTTACCATTACATATTTAGGATTCCTTCAGAAGCCTTAAAACATCTTTCTAAACTTGGACCTATCCTTTAAGAAACTTTTCCTGGAAGAAAATTGGCATGTGCTTTAAACAGTATCTTATAATTGTCTTCCCTTTTTCTAATTACTGTTGCATTATAGTATTATTAATCCCTTACTTTGAGGCTTCAAAACTGTTTTTTTTTTTTTTTTGCCTGCTAAAAATACTGACATGCTTTCATTCTTGCCTGAGAAAGGAACAATAATTAATTTCATGTTTTTCAGGTAGCTAAGCAAGACAAGAACCTCATAAAGCCTCTTTATGACCGATACAGAATTATCAAGCAAATCTTGTCAACACCTTCCCTTATTCCAACAATTGTAAGTCAGCATGCTTGCATTAACTAGAAACCTGTACTTGTGCTTGGTATTGTTTAAGTAGGGAGGCAGCACTATGACAGTGATAAAGAAGCCTTCTTGGCAGTATATGCTGCTAAAAAGGTCAGTTGTTATTTCACACAGTAGAAATGTGGTCTCCTTTGAGCCAAATATCATACTTAACAGGTGGATGATAATTAAAACTATTATGAAACAGGAATATATAGCAACTGCATTTTTTAGTTTATTTTGTGAGAGAGCACACATGGGAGGGGCGGTAAGAGAGGGGAAGAGAGAGAATCCCAAGTAGGCTCTGCACTGTAAGCATAGAGTCCAATGTAGGGCTCAAACTCACAAAACATGAGAGCATGAACTGAGCTGAAATCAAGAGTTAGACACTTAATCAACTGAGCCACCCAGGTGCCCAGCAATTGCATTTTTGAAGCCAGTTTTAATATTTGCTTTAATTTCTTGGATGAGGAGAACAACTGATAATTTCAATTTCATCATCTAATTTACAACACAGCTAAACCACACAGAGTCTTTCTATTCCGTGTGTTAATTTTTCTTCTTTAATAAGAAAATTGACTACATGTTCCTTGATACAAATGCAACATTTGTTTTTGGTACCATTTGACCATCACTGAATAAGACATAAGATTTATTTCAATAGAAAACATGGCTACTAAAATTGAGCTAGACTGTTTTTAATAAAGAATGATTTATGGGAATACAGAACTAGAAAGGCATCACAAATCCTACTCCATTAATATTAAAACAGTCACTTGCTCAAGATATCAGTATAAAAAGGAATAAACATTAACAAATATACATTTAAGTATACTGGACTACATTTATAATTTCACAATTTTCAAGACAAACACAATAGTGATTCATAATCTCTAAAATGTTCCCATTAAAGAAGCATGGTTTAAAATGGGGTATGATTTTCAGATTTCCTTGCAAAAAATTCTTTTGGTTGTGGTAAGTATTAGCAGAACAGGTTAAGGAGTAACTCCATTTTGCTTTGGCCTTCATAGAGCTCTTCCCTGAATTTGTCAATTTTCTGACTATCCTCTATATCTGAATGTGGCCCACACCAGGATCTGATTTGGGGTATTTCTGAATAACAAAAGGTGTCTGAAGTCCATTTCATCCTAACCCATGTAACTGTTGTGAAGCTGGGGTCCACCTTCTGAGTGAAAGGGAGGAACTAGTAGGCAGTCCTAGATTCTGTGCCTTCTTTGGTCCAGCAAAAAGACAAACTTGCTGAGCATTTTAGCCCAGCATTGGGTGGGGATGGGGTGCTTCTTTGATCATTAACTTCTGTAAGTTTTTTGATGCAACTGAGGAAGAGTCACTCTTGTTTGTTTCCTTCTGGGTTTTCAGTGGTACAGGGATCACCTACTCTTTTCATGGTGTCTATTTATGGTTCCTCTTCCTGTTTTTGCTTCAAGAGTCACTTAGCATTTTTGTGACTTCATTTAACTCTGCTTGTGATAAGCAGGAGGAAGAAGACTCTGATGAAGACTGTCCACAGGGAAGCCAACAACCTTCTCTGCCAGATCCAGCATCTCACCTGCCTATTGGCGACCACCTCACCTTCTCTAATGAGACGGAACCTATTAGGGTCCTGCTGTCAGATGAAAAAAAAGAAGCCAAACAACCAGCCCTATCCATGTCCAATTTACATGAGGCCACTATGTGAGTGTGAATCTTAAATATGGAGTTTCTTTTTAACTCTTTATAGTCTGAGATACCTTACATGTGCCTACAAAATTCACAAGAGCTGTTAGATTCTCTAAAAAATGCAACCTACCAGAGAGCAGCCTAAAAGCATAATCTGGTTGTTCTCCTTATTGGAGAATTGAGAAGACAAAGCCATGAGGAACCAACACTCTCAGTAAGGTCCTAAAGATGCCAAAAATGTTAATGTTCAATTTCCTCTAGCTGCATACCTTTTCAGCAGGTTCTGGCACCAGTCTAATTCTCAGCAGTGTGTGAAGCAGAGCTGGCTTTTGAAAATGCTAGACCAAAAGGAATTGGGGTCCCATGTGGTTCAACATTTCAGGGCCTTTAGATAAGATGGTTTCTCTAGCCTGGGAATCACCTTGGGTTTCAGTAAATGAGCTGCCCTTTTTCTCCTAATGGCCCTTCAGGAGCTATTTGTATTTTCATTAGTATTATCATTATTGTTATCATTACCATTATTTAGTAGTTAGCATTTCTCTTCATCATTTCACCTTCTTTGGTTTGTATGTTATAGGCCAGATTTATGAGATTTCCTTTAACATGTATTACAGTGTGGTGAGTGTATACCTCAAGATAGGTATGGAATCCACCCACATATATGAGGTGAGACTAAGGACTAAGTTGTAAATTGGGATTTTAGTGTGTTTGTAGAATCAGTTGGTACCACAACTTCGGCTCAGAGAAGTAACCCATTTGGAAGCAGAAATCCATCTTCCTTCCGCTCTTGTTTTCTTTCTTTTTTCTCTCCTCTTTCCTTTCCTTCATTTATTTGTTGGTTGTTTGGTTCTTAAGCAGCTTTTGAGGGGTGTTAAGAATATTTTTTTTAATGTCAATATATAATTTCAGGGAGTTCAGTCTCTGAAACCATGCACAAGTTCCCTAGATAAAAATTCCTGCTCTAAAAGTATATGCTTTGTCTTATACTTTAGAATGAAGTGAGTAGAATGAAGTGAGTAGAATTTTCAGTGTAACTCTATCTTCACTTTGGGTCTAATTTCATTCCCAAGGTTTTTGCCATTTTCCCCATACTCTACATTAAGGATAGAACTTGTTTTAAACTCTCTTCCTCTTGTGCCTCTTAAGTCTAGTCTATCACCAAATACCAATGAGTATTCTTTTAAAATGTCTCCTTTTCCCTCATCCATTCATATGGTCATTACCCTCACCACACTTCAATTTTTTTTTAAGATTTTATTTTTAAGTAATCTCTACACCCAATGCGGGGCTTGAATTTACAACCCTGAGATCAAGAGTCACATGCTCTACTGACTGAGCTAGACAGGTGCCTCACCCTAACCACATTTTGTAATGGACTTAGTCACTCAGTCAGCTTGCCTTTTTTCTCCTCTCCTTTCTCCTTTTGTTCTTTCTCTTCTCCTATGACATTGTTTTCATTCTCTGCTTATGTGCTTCCCTATGATTAGGTTCTACATGTACTATATTTATTCAAAAGATACTTTTAGGCAGAACCCTTCTGTATCATAGTATGATTTGCTGAATAGATAAATCATTTTATGATGTCTCAATTATGCCAGAGTTTAGTAATGGCAAATCCATATTTTACTTGGTATAGGCCTGTACTTCTTGACCATCTCCGAGAAACTAGGGCTGACAAGAAGAGACTTCGGAAAGCCTTAAGAGAATTTGAAGAACAATTTTTTAAACAAACGGGAAGGTAAGTTGGGCAAAGATTTTTTTTAAGCAAGTATTTCCTAGGGAACTATCATTAAGAATGAGCTGGAGTTTTGGGCAAGAATGTGAATTTATAAAAGATATAAATAATTTCAATAGTGACTGAGATCTAATGCAACATTCTAATAGTGCCATTATTAGGTATGTTTTATGGGAGGCTGTAGCCATCAAGTATGACATAAGGCTTTAAAAAAATAAAGATGAATTGCAAAAATTCCTAACTTTGCTTTATAAATCTCTTTATAATTATTGAATTTATCTAAAACTTTAAGAAATCTATTTGATTTTTTAACCCATATAATTTATTTGTTCTTGATTAGTTTCACAAATTATTCCCCACTTCATTAATTCTTCCTTTGCTTTAAATATATCTTTTAAACTTCAGGATCTATCCTTAATTATTTATTTTCAGGATTTGGTCAAAAGTTCATAGCTATTTTCTCTATCCTTTAAATAAATGTTTAGCTGTATCCTCTATTTGTCTATTTTTGTCAACCCAAGTTTCCATGTGCACTCCATCAGTTTCCTCTAAATTTGGCTATATTGTCAATGTATATATAACTTTTATATGTACTATATATATATATATATATGTATTATATATGTGCATGCATATATATATATATATATATAATTATGAGATTAAGGATTATGTGTGTGTATGTATGTACATATATCATGAGATTAAGGATTATTGATCTATGTAAGAGAAAGAAGAAAAATCATTTGCCTATCCTTAGCCTGTTTCCATGGTTGTACAATGAAATGACTGGACTTCCTGGAATACTTTGGGAAGGTATAGTTGTCATGTGGGATGTCAGTATTAAAAATAATAAGGTGTAACTTTCCCAAAGTCACAAAGTTATTAAGGTGGCAGAGGTAGGAGTCAGTGATACACTGGCCCCTTGATATTCCTCTCCATGTACATATCTGCCTCTCGTGATTTCTTCCATTTCAGCAGACTGAGGGTTGACCTAATGGACAAGGGACTATTTTCTAAAACACCCTGAAAGAGGTCTAGTCACCTCTTAGCAGTTTCTCCATTTCAGTCCTCCAGAGCTGTGTACTAGGATTTGACCTCTTAAGTCAGAAACTTATTGTACTTAGCAAATACAGATGTAATCCACTTTTCTGCCTGGACTCCAAATTTACCTTTCTGCTGTTGTTAACTAATCTACTGAAAAATGTTATGTGGCTGTTAAATTTAGAATATAAAACATAATTTTTCATTTTCTTTTTTCATTTCCATTATTTTTCCTTTACAGAATTTCCATACAGCTTTTACATTTACATTTTTTTTTTACCTATATGAACCCAGGAGTCTAAAAAGTTTGAGAATCCCCCTCACCCACCAGTATGCTAATAGTCCTGCCTAATGGAGGACTACCACTAGAGAGTGGTACTTGTCATGCCTTCTGATATACAGAGAAGTTAGTGATGTTCTATGTATAGTACTCTACTGCACCTTTGAGTCCTAATCCCACTTCAGATATGCCTATATTTGACTGAAATTTTAGGCCCTCTTCTGGTAATACACTTAAACTAAATGCCAAAGTGGTAGTAGATTACAACTAAAATCAAAGGGTTAAATGGGTAGGAAATATGGATCTTAATCTTTTCTCCTAAAACATTTTATTAGGAAGTCCTAATCCTATCCATATGGTAAAATAACCATGCAAATGGAGTACTAAAAAGTTTAAGTTACTGTAAATGTTCTTGGTAATATTTGCCAAGCAAGAGGATTAATCATATAGATATGACATTAATATTTTTGAGCCAGGAACTGTATTAAGCACATTAGCATGTTTTACATAATGGGATAACTGCTTCAGGAAATACTTAGCAAAATTTTTCATTCTGGCCAATGCACTCTTCTTTATTAGCCAAAATGGAGTATGCAGGCCCAGGGAAAAGTTACATGATGGATTACTAGTGTTTCCCTATAAATTAGATCATTTCTTCACTTATATATGTTTATACAAGTTAAGGTGGTATTAAATTCCCAGATAAAAGGTTGGTCCATAATACAGAATGGAGGCAAAGGAATTGTTAAATAACTTAGGCAATATTTAATAGAAACCCTGTCTTTAGGTTTGTGTACTCTTCTGAGTTCTGTACTAGAAATTCCAGGGCAATGTATAGTGGTGTGTCACAAGTAGATAACTACATTCTTAGGAAATCTTTATACTTTCACTATTTTTTTTATTTGTGAGAGATATTTCTTTTATCAGTACTAGGAAAATAGAAGGAACTATAGGTAAAACATCAAGTGCTTGCGATTTACCTATATTCAGCCATACTAATATTAGTGTTTATTTTCAGTAGCAACTGTGGTACTTCATCTGTTTTCCACCCCTTATATTTCAAAGTCATGAGTGAAGATGTTCTAAAAGCAATTGGTCATCTTATCAACCAAGGAGACAAGGGACATCTAAGATCCTGAATCAATTACTGCCCTTTAGAAAACATATCCTGGCAACATGTTTTTGTGGGAAGGAATGGTTTTAACTCCAGATGTTACCCAAACATTCTTCAAAGTAAATGGCAAGAACACATAGTAGTTAGAATGCAGATGTATAAACTGTGCTTAGATGTGTAGCCTTAGAATTAGTGTGCAAAGAGAACCACTGCAATTCAGACTCCCATAAATTCAATCCATAAACATCTCCTTGATTCTACTACACATTGGCAGAGATAGGTATTATAATTTAAAAAACTTGGAAATATTTCATATTTACAAGATAGCCAATGAGCTTTTTTCCCCTATAACAATAAATTTATACATTCTTTTAATTTATGTAGTTTTTTAGGTTGAATTTTGAACAATTCTGACTGTCAGGGCTGGACATTCTGCACAGGTATGGGACTTTGGCATGAGTAACGGTAGAATAACTAAAGAATGCCTTGAGTTGTGGTTTTTGTTTTATTCCTCAGACCTTTTTACTTGCTCCATTGATATATGTCTGAGCACTGGATCATATATCTGCAAAACACCTATGACATTCTCTATTATATAAAAATCCAATAACACATGAAAGAGGGAGAGTGTGAAGGTGGAAGGGAAGGTAAAAAAGACATGATGCAAAAGCCAAGTGGAAACATCCACCCTGTACTTTCTCATGTAAAAATTATAAAAGGATTTTTAATGACTTGATTTATTATGAGCTAATAGTCTTTCCTGTTTTGCAGAAGTCCACAAAAGGAAGATAGGATACCGATGGCAGATGAGTACTATGAATACAAGCACATAAAAGCCAAACTGAGACTATTAGAGGTCCTCATCAGCAAGCAAGATGTGGCCAAAACCATCTGAGGTTCAGGAAATATTTGTGCTCACTTTCAACCAGGATAAGGCCAAGTTTCTTTACCTATGACATTCTTGCTAAGTAGTTTTGACATACTGAGAATCAAAGCACTTTAGTGGTAGTATTAGCTGTTTTTAAGAAGGGATGGCAAGTGTAATTATAAATGAGGATGGAAGAGTTAAATGGGGGAAATATACTAACAATATAATTGGAAAAATTGCTCCATGCCAAGGAGAAAACACATGGTCAGTATACTTATTTCAAAAACCATCTTAATATTTTATCAAATCTAAATAATACTTGTTCAGTGGGCCACTTGTTAGGAAAAGTCTATGTTGTGTCCAAAAACTGCTTATGTTAAAGTGTGGAAAAGAGCATGATTTTTAAAAAATCAATAAGGAGGAAAAGAAACTTTTCTTTTTATGTAGGAAGGAATATGGCTAGTAAGAATTTAATATATTTAAAACTTCTAATAGATTTTTAAGTGATAAAAAATCTACCTTGTCCCTTAAGTCTGCTAGGCTATCAGTAAAGCATACTAGAATGTGTCACTGCTAATTTTTTATTTCTATATAAAAATAGCAGATTTTACCTGTTATTTGAGATTTTACATTTCTGGTTACCAAAGTTCATTCTGATAGCATGTACTTTGTGAATTAACTTTGTCTATAATGACAGATGTTTATATTAAAGTAAACTTGTATTAAAATTTAAAAATAGGTATTTTGGGATAGATTCGTGGTCTGCAGTATATAATTCTAATGTGATCATAGTTATGATTGCTAATCTTTTTGTTTACTATAAGAGCATATAACTATTTTTCCATTGGGAATATGCATTTTTCTTAATGTTCCAAAGTCTGTACTTTGTATAGTCACAAAGCTTTCTCATGAGTTGTAGGTATTCTTCATCTTGCACAAAATTTGTAAATTGCTGACACCTTGGAAAAGAAAGCTAAATATTTTATTTGCTTCATCAACTTTAGTGCATATGATTTTGTGTTATTTTGTACTAAAACATGCGTTTATTATTTTGCCTTTGTAAAAATAAGAGGTCAACATTTTCTCTCTTTTAACAACCATGTTTGTATTTCTGTTTTCTGTAATGTTTAAGCATGATGTTGAACAAATTCACATTTTCATATAGTTTGGGTGGGAAGAATATTGACTTTCAGAAGTAGAGTATTTCAGAGGCTTATTGTTTTCTCTGTATTTACCTGGTATTTTATAACTTTTATGAATCAGAATGATGTCCTTCATAAATTTGTTTAATTGAAGTCATCTACTTGTAACAGGACAGATACACAACTATTTGAAGTTTACAAACTACATCTTTGATAAGGGAAATGGTTTCATGACATGTATACAATTGCTATTAAAATGTAACTCTATATATTCTATATGATTGTAAATATTTTATACAACAATACAAATAAAATATTTTTCTATTATATTTATTATGTTGAAACACAATAGTTGTTTCCTGTTAGCTAATATAAATAACATAAATAACACTGTCAAACAACAAGTTGGAAGTGTTGACAATTCTAGGCTTCAAGATTTAACTCATGCTGCAATTACACCCTTTCATGCGGTTTGGAGTTATCCCAATATTTGTTCAGTAGATTAAAATGAATGCATATTTAAACACCATTTATAAGCTGTTATTTTGTATTTTGCTAAAGCATTTATATAATTGTCTTGTTATGTTTGGCATAAAGGAAAAATAAAGACATTGCAGCATCTAGGCAATAAAGTGTCAGAGGAGAACTTTCATCACTGAAAGTAATGGGAAAGGCAGGGAATAGGAAACACTAGAATGGCTCTGAATGAAATTTGAAAAATGGCACTTTGCTTTTGGTGATAGCGGCATGTGCATGCTTCAGTGGAAAACATCTGGTGATGAGAATAGACAACAGAGGATCAATGCTCCTAAGGGAAGAAAAGGGACTGAGTAAGAATAAGAAAAGTGGGCATTAACGTCCAACACTGATATTACAGGTTTTGCAGCTGGGATCTTTCTTTGCATTTGCAGTAGACAAACTCATGAGCTGATGACCAGTGATTTCTGCTACAGTGCCCAGAGAAAGATCCACAGGATCAGTGTAAATGACTTCTAAAATGACATCCTGGGCATGGTGGTAAACCAGCACCCCATCTTCTTCTGTGCAGGTCAAAAATTTATTATCCTTGGAATTTAGCTGAGGAAGGCGCTGCTTACAAAATTCATCTCCTGGTGATCCCACAGGGGCAATAACAAGAATCACATAATGATAAGCAGTGTACATACAGTAGAAGTCCCCAAAGTATAAGTTAGTATTGGGGTTAAAAAGTTTTTCTGCTGCAATCTCAAACCTGTATCTTCCGTAAGGTGAATCCTGGGGTGGTTTCCCAGTATTGAATTCAGTGCTGCAGCTGAAGAAGATGCCTTCTAATTTTCCACTGATAGGAGAGCCATGGCTACCACTGTTATCCTTGACAGATGGCTGCATAGCATTCCCATGATGTTCTCTGCAAGAGAAAAGAAATGATCATTTCTTGGTATAATAGTAGTAAAGCTATTGATTTATATGCAGATCTTATTGGTGGTTGGCCTAAAAGTCTGATCATCCTATCAGAGCAAGGAGAATCCATCTTTTGACCTACTTAACTTTTATGTACTTTAATGCTAGGATGTTCTTCTACAAACCTTGGAGGTCTTTATGTAATAAATTTCCTGGCCAGAAAAACTGAACTGGAATTAGAAATCTTACAACTGAAATCACATCCATTATATACCTACTGGGTTTTAGAAGTAGCTTTTTGAAGAGAAAACGAGACTAACAGTATTGGTTAGTTAAATATACTGAATGTTTCTTTAAAGTATGCCAGAAATTTAGTCCTGAGTACTGTCCATGTATATTGGTACAAAAGCGTTTTATTTTGTTTTTTAGGGTTTTTTTCCCCCAGGGTACTGTTTGCTAATTAGGTCCTCTGTCTTGTGTTTTTCTTACAACAGAGCTGGTTATTCCTCCTTTACCATTCCCCCAGTTCTATTCTCCATCCTTTTTGCCTTCCACTGTGAGCTGGGACTCTATCATCCAGTTCATCCTTGTTCCTTGGTCCCTTCCATTTCAGTTCTGCCAGTGGGGGCACCAGCATATCTGGGAGAGGAGGGAGTAAAACCTTGAGTGTGTCATCTTCTACTTTCTCCATTCTTCAGAACCTTGTGGTTCTGGCGTGGCTGGATTCACCTGTACCACATGTCTCTATTTCTCCTATCAGATGTACTCTATCCCCCTTCTCAAAAATAGTAAAACTTTTCAATTCTTGATAGTTCTTGTTTGCTTTAGCATTCCTTATTGTTGCCTTCACCCTGCCTATACCTTTGTGAATGGTGCTTTTGTCAAATTTTCTCCAGAACTCCTACTAAATGTCCCTTCTCTTTCTTGTTGGGCCCTTAACCAGCAAGACTTGGGATGAAAATTACAACCTACTATGCAGGCATGAGAAGGTTCCCAGTCAGCATTCTTCTTCCTTTTTTTTTTTTTTTTTTTTTTTTTTTTTTTTTTTTTTTTTTTTTTGTTCTTTTTGCTTTCTATTTTTTTTTAAATGTAATTTGTTGTCCAGTTGGCTAACATACAGTGTATACAGTGTGCTCTTGGTTTTGGGGGCAGATTCCTATGATTCATCACTTACATACAACACCCAGTGCTCATCCCAACAAGTGCCCTCCTCAATGCCCATCGCCCATTTTCCCCTCTCCTCCATCCCCCTCCCCATGAACCCTTAGTTTGTTCTCTATATTTAAGAGTCTCTTATGGTTTGCCTCCCTCCCTCTCTGTTTGTAACTATTTTTCCCCTTCCCTTCCCCCATGGTCTTTTGTTAAGTTTCTCAAGTTCCACATATGAGTGAAAACATATGATATATGTCTTTCTCTGACTGACTTATTTCACTTTGAATAATAGCGTCCAATTCCATCCATGTTGCTGCAAATGGCAAGATTTCATTCTTTCTCATTGCCAAGTAGTATTCCATTGTATATATAAACCACATCTTCTTTATCTATTCATCAGTTGATGGACATTTAGGTTCTGTCCATAATTTGGCTATTGTTGAAAGCACTGCTATAAACATTGGGGTTACATGTGTCCCTATGAATCATCACTCTTGTATCCTATGGATAAATTCCTAGTAGTGCTATTGCTGAGTTGTACGGTAGCCTTTGGGTCAGTGAGGTGTGCTCAAGATCTCCCCTGACTATAGTACAGCAATGAGACTCAAAGGCTGCTACCAAGGGAGCTTATTAAAATGCGATTCAAAGTAAGACCAAAAAAGTGTCTGTCACATATTAGAATACACTAGAAAAATAAATGATGTATGATATTCCAATTGGACCCCATATTTTTATTCTTACTGTTCTTCCTTGCCTCCTGATGTTCCAAAAATTCCTTCTATTATCGTTTTATTCCTTTTTCAAAAACTTAAAAAAACTACAATGGTCCAAAATCTTTGGAGTGCAACAAGAAGTTCTAAGGAAAGTTTATAGCAATACAGGCCTATCTCAAGAATCAAGAAAAAAATCTGACACAATCTTACTTTACAACCAAAATGAGCTAGAAAAAGGAGAACAAACAAAACTCAAACCCAACAAATAGGATTACAGTAGAAATAAATGATATAGAAACTAAAAACAGGAGGACCTGGGGAAGATGGTGGCGTAGGAGGACTCTGGGCTCACCACATCCTGCTGATCACTTAGATTCCACCTATACCTGCCTAAATAACCCAGAAAACCGCCAGAAGACTAGCAGAACAGTCTCTGGAGCCAAGCGCAGACGAGAGGCCCACGGAAGAGGGTAGGAAGGGCAGAGAGGCGGGGCACGCTACATGGACTGGCGAATGGAGCCGGGGCGGAGGG